ATGGGAACACCTCTCCTTTGCTCGTGCGCTAGAACCGAAAGACAAGGAGATGTGAACACACATACCTGCGTTGAATGGGAACAATACCTGTAAATTTATAACACCCATTCATGATATGGCCTGGCTTGTAAGATGGCACAACACCCTTCAGGCACTGTTTGTTTCCATATTAGTTCCGGTTCATTGTCCTCTTTTCTGGAAATGAAAGGAAGTAGCAGGTGGGAGAACTAAGATGTCGGGTGCATCAAGCATGGATGCCGGTCACCAAGCCAATCTTCCGAACTGTATGGCAATTCGATGTATAACATGATGGCAGTCATCGGACTGTCATGTAAGATGTGGGATGCATCGAGTACGGATGCCGGTTGACAAGCCAATCTTCCGAAATGTATGGAAATTCAATATTAAACTATATCTCAGGGCATGTCTCAAACTTTTCGGAATTATGTTTGTGCAATGAATAACTTGTATGTATACTATTTAGCTAAGCATTTCATATTGTATATACAAAAAGCTAGCTAAATAGACCCTAAAGGTATCGGGCTCATATATATATATATAGGGTCCCTTATACACCCAAACAAGAACACTAAAAAAGTCCCAGAAACCAACCTAGACTATCAAGGCAGTTCGGAAGGTGCCGCGGATTCTCGTGGTGCCCGCGCTCGACCAGGCCCAGTGGCATGGCTCCTCAGAGGCTTCGCTGTACTTAGTTGGTCTGATATATATATATATATATAATTATATATATATATATAATTATATATGGTTTAGGGTATAGGGTTTAGAGTTTGAGGGACCATGATGATTGGAATAGGTTTTGAAGTATGATTTCAAGCTCTACCATGCGATCTTGCAGGTTCAGGCCTTACGGAGCATGTTGGCCGCTGTCGGTAAAAGCGGACTCTACTTTGCTCCGTGAGTCAGGGCTTCGTTCAATGCTTCAGGGCCCCAAGACCTGAATCCTGAAGGGGCCTTACGCAGGGTAGCGGCCGGGTAGCGTTTCCGAATGATGTTGATGTTTCTGGTGTCAGCATCGATCGCAACTGCCGTTGCGAATTCTAGTTGCGCTCTGCTGTGGCTTGTACGACCGATAAAATGCAACTACAAGTACTGCCGACGTAGTACTTAGCAGTACCTAGCGAAACGACGCCCCTCGAATACTAGCAACTGAATCGGGCGCCACGGGCATGTTCATGTTCAACCTGGCGACGAATAATCGTAACGTGCTTTGCGGTGTTTACGTCTCTTCGGCGTTCTGGGTCTGGCAGACTAGGCCTGACCACCAACAAGGCCTCAACCCTTCAAATCAAAGCCTCAGTCGCACGCCCTAAACCACACTCTGCCAGGTCTGCGACGAATCGCTGAGCATCCTACTTGAACCCCGAGACCAGAAAACTCTGTAGCCTAAGCCCTCAACCCTTCAAGCCTAAAGAAACGTGCCGCCCTGAAAAACTGCAGAAGCCAAAAAGCGACACCCTCAAGAGGAACAAAACAAATGTAAAAACCCTCAGAACACACACTAAACACCCACAGCCCGGCACAGTGCTGGAATTTGCAAGCCCTAATATCTTGTATGCCTACAACTCAACAAAACCCTGCACGCTACGCCCCAAGACGCAGAAACATGCACGCAGAAGCCTCGAGAAAACCCGCGGCTTTCGAGCATATCATCGCAACGCAAAACGGCCGACATGCTCCAAACGCAGGGTTTTCCCGGGGCGAAACACCTGTCTCAACAGCAGCCTTAAATAAAGGGTGGGGGTTTAGGCTTTGATCCCTCCTACCTAGCAAGGACGAGCCCGGGTTTTCGGATTAGGGTTGTGGAGAAAGAAGTTGAAGACAGGACAGCAGTCGCGGTCGGGTCCTGTTCTACCCGAGCTGAAAATTTCGAAGAGCTTCGAAAAAAACAACGGTAAAATTCGGGAACTACCCGTCCAAGCTCCACGCGTGCGCCAAACGAGGGAAGCTCTTTGTCAAGCAATATGGACTCGATGTAGCATGGTCTGGTCGGTGGGGTTGCGGCTTGCTGGTTGCGATGTCTGACACGATGTACTGACTGATTGATTCCATAAGCCCAGAACTTCTCGCCTGAGAGTGGAAATTGGGCCAGATGCCAGCGGGGCGGCATGACATGCAAACATGCCGACTGGCGTAGCCGCAAAGGCCATTGTGCACTGGTTGAGCCTCAGCGGCTGAGCTCCCTCCTAGAACTGGGAAAGTCCGAAGCGAGGACAGCCCAGCCAGTCAGGCCGGCAACTTCCAATGTCGTTCCAGCCAGTGGTGCAGGATGGGGTTCATGGGATTCGGGACTCACGCTTTAGGGATGCAGCCCTTAAACTAACCCGCGGCTTTCTTTTCCGTCAGGGCATCGCCTTAGGCATGCGACTTCTAGTGCGGAACATGGTGTCGGCATCAGTGCTCAGAGCCTCTCAAAGCCAAGGCTACCTAGACCCCCCAACTACCCTCTATTATCCCTTAAATACCCACTATTAAGGACCATAAAAGGGCCATTGGGGGGTCCTGGTAGTTGAGGAAAGCTCGTCTGGCTGGCGCTTGGCAAAACTGCAGCGCGCAGAGTCTGGCCGCGTTGTGTTCAAAGAGTTGCGCTCTTGTTCAGCGTGTCTGCCATGTGAGCTGAGGCTCTCCCTAATAATATGGCGGCTGTGGCGGCCTTAACGATTGGACCGGAGTTTTGGGGTAATACAAGAAGGAGCTTCAATAGTCTCGGTAAATTTTTCGGCCCCCAT